CTCTTTCTTGGTTCATCGATTATTAGACATTTTCAGTTGAGTTCTTCTTATGATATATGAGGATTTTCCTCTCTTTCCATTCTGTTATTACAATTACATCACAATTTTGGTGTATATGTAAATATCGTTCACTGCGGAGCCAGTGAACGATATTTATTTCTATTTCTATTTCTATTTCTATTCTAAAATAGAATTTTAGAATTCTATTTTCTTTCTTGTGTGTGTGAATTTTTCTGTAATCAATAATTACTTAATTCTTTTTCCATTGCTTTCTTATCTTCTCAGTTGAATTTTCCAAAAGTCAATTCTATTTTTTTTCCTCAAGATGTTCCACCTTGGAGCCTTATGTCCTTGTGTGGTTATATGGACAAGTTGCTCTCTAGCAGCTCTGGATACCCTGTTGTCTGGAGACCTCCCTTCATCATCTCAAGAATTCACATTTCCTCTCTCCTATGTTAAATATCTTGTTTCCAGCATTGCGTCCTTTGTTTTGGGTTTACATCGTAATTTTAGAAGAGCACATCAATCAGTATGCGGTAAAATTGTTGATAACTTTGCACGTCTGAAAATTTCTTTATTTGATCTGCATATTTGATTGATGATTTGGCTGGTTATCTCTTCAAGGTTGGAAACTAGCCTCTAGCTTCCAATTTTACTGTTGAGAAACCAAGTGCCATTTTATTTACAGTCCTTTGATTGTGACTTTTTTCCCTCAGGAAGACTTTTATTTTTATTTTTTTTAGCTTGGGTACTTGTATTTATTTATTTATTTACTTACATTTTGTTTTATTATCTTATAGTATTATTTTATTCACTTAGCATGAGGTTTACCTTCTTCACAAATTTTTGAGCATACAATACAGTATTGTTGCCTATAAGGTAGGAAGGCTTTAGTATCTCCTCTTTATCTCTAGGGTTCTAAAATTTTAGAATATAACTTGGTGTGTATTTTTTTTTCCCCACATTGTGCTGGGAACTCGTTGGGCTCTTTCAATATGGAGGTTCATGTCCTTCAGTTCTGGGAAATTTTCTAATATAGTTTCTTTGATAATTGCCCCCCTCCATTTTGTTGTTATTTTCTGAGAAATATCTGTATTGATCCTCTAATTTTATTATCTTTTCTGTCTATTTAACCATTTTTTCCCTATTTCCTGTTATTTCCTCAACTCATCCTCCAACTTTCCTATTGAATGAATATTTTATTTCTGCAGTTGTATTTTTAATTTCCAAAACTTTCTTATTCTCTGTCCTCACCTCCTCTTACTCATTCATAGATGTAATATCTTCTCTTAACTTGGAAGAAATCAATTTTATTTTCTGCTCCTTTCATGATTACTTTTTTCTTCAAGTTCTTTATGTTTTAGTCTTTGTCATTTATGTTTGGAGGCTTTCCTCAAAAGTCTGATGACCTGTGAGTATTCATTCATATTCTAGAGCCAATGAAGCACATTGCTATAACGATACTGCCTGAAAACTGTATGTGAGTAGGCGGGGCTTGTGGCCTAGTGAGCTTCCTTGCATGCTTGGCTGGTGTTCCAGCTTTTTATTGGCGGATTCCCAGATATCGGCATCTATAGGCCTTTTCTCTTATGCCATTCTATTTCTCCAGCAAAGTATTTTCCAGTCTCCTGTTAGGAGGTATAAGTCTGGCTGCTAGAGTTCTGGGAGCTGGATGGAAGAAAGGAGGAGGGAAGTTTTATTCTGATTTTAGTCCCAAGCCTCCCCTCTACCCTCGCTATGTCTAGTGTCCAAAGTCCTGAACCTCTGTGGTTCAGTTTCTCCAGATAATAAATATGCCATCTCCTCTAAATGTGGGAGTGAGAACCGGAGAGATCTAACTGCTCTTATGTAAATTTTCAACCTGCCTCCCCATTTTCCACCCTGTTCTCCACCCATACTTTCTATAGCACCTTGTGCCTCTGGGTCCTGGACTTTGCCTCCTCTGTTGCCTTTCTTCTCATCCGTGTCACCTTTGTGCCTGATGTCACCCGCCTCTCCACTGCTGAGTCAGTTATTGCCCCTCCATTCATTGTCCTCATTTTGTGACTCAGGTTATGGCTATCTGCTAATTTCATTGAAGATGAGGTTTGTGTTTTTATTTCTCACTTTTCCTTGTTTTGGGCTGACTTCTGAGAGAAGGATGGAGCAAAAAGATTTTCACTCAGCCATTTTCAAACCTGATAGTTACTTCTTTTATTTTTTATTATTTATTATTTTTTTTGTGTGAGGAAGATCACCCTGCGCTAACATCTGTGCTAATCCTCCTCTTTTTGCTGAGGAAGACTGGCTCTGAGCTAACATCTATTGCCAATCCTCCTCCTTTTTTCCCCAAAGCCCCAGTAGATAGTGGTATGTCATAGCTGCACATCCTTCTAGTTGCTGTATGTGGGACGCAGCCTCAGCATGGCCGGAGAAGCAGTGCGTCCATGGGCGCCCAGGATCCGAACCCGGGCCGCGAGTAGCGGAGCACGTGCACTCAACCGCTAAGCCACAGGGCTGGTCCATTACTTCTTTTGTAAGTAGGAAAAAACCCAGAAAGGTTTTCATTTTGTGGGGAAATCAAGTTACAGTAATCATTAAGAAATTTAGTAATGGAAAGTAGCAGTTACAACTAAAGGAAGCATTAGAGCCTATAAAAGATTTTATAGGAAATTTGGTTGTTTTTGAAGGCAGAGAGAAACTGAAGCAGGCCCCGGTAAAGGTGGGAATGTCATCAAGAACAGAGGTAGAGAGCTTAGTAGCTCTGTTGTAGAAATGAAGGAAAAATGACACAAGTTAGAGGTAGCAAGGAGACAAGATGAGGGAGCTCACATCCAGTGGAGTAAAGTTGGTCATACGGCTTATAAACTATTTTGATATTTTTTTTAGTTAAGTAAAAGCACCAGGCACTTCAAACCTTAGATGATATATTTTTCACATTATCATGCTAAATTAAAAAGTTGAAATTATGTAGTATTAACAAAAAATATCTGCTTGGGGCTCCTTTATTATTTTTTTATCTTGAAAAATAGTGTAAACTCTTAGACAGAGTCTAATGAATGACTCTTCATTTTCTTCAGTCTACTTTGTTGCTTATGCTTGTTTATTTTTGTTCAGGGAAATTTAGTCAATGAACAACCAAAGCATACTGTTAAGTATAATTTTGGTGTACTAAATGATGATATTTCTTTTAAAATTATATTAAAAATATTTTTCCAGGGCCGGCTCCGTGGCTTAGCGGTTAAGTGCGCGCGCTCTGATGCTGGCGGCCCGGGTTCGGATCCCGGGAGCGCCCCGAGGCACCACTT